GCCAGCAAGCTTGGGCCCAAACGCCGTGCCGCCGAGTCCCGTGGGCGCGACCGTAGACCGTGGGCCGGAAACTGCGGCCGCAGCTCGGCGGCACGTGGTTCTGTTCAAATCGCCAAGCGTGCAGCAGCGCCGAACCACGCTTCCCGGCCTCGGCGCATGCCTTCAGGGGCCCCCTATCGCTGGGCACACCCCTCCAACACCGAACATGCGCCCGGGGGGGAGGGCGGCCCGGGCTGCCCAGGCCAAAGTGGGCCGCCCTCGAGCAAGAGGCGGCCGGTCTGTGTGCTGAATGAATGAATGGATGCGTACTACTCCATGCTCCCGTACCGTTGCGTTTCTCCCCAATGCGCCATGCCACTTTGCCAGTCATACACACGTTTCGATGCGTGCCCTGTCAGCTGCTTGCGTTGCATGTCGCCTTGCTCCACCCTTGTTTTATTGCTTTCTCTGCTTTCGCCCGGTTCCCGTCCCGTTTCGGCGGGGAGTCTATGTTGCAAGTTAGTTCTTGCTTTACCAGACTTTAAGCCCACACAAGTGAGAATTCTTCGAAGGGAGGTGGAGGTGGTGCAGTCCCGTGCATCGGCACCTGTGTGTCGGCACGGCGCCCAGCGCGAGTCAGATGGCTGGGAGCCGGGTGGGCACGTGCATGGGCGGTGATCGAGGAAGGCCGCGGCGCCTCAGGGGTGGGATCCGGATGGGATCGGCTGCTCACACAGCTTGCTTGCTTGCTTGCTTGTGTGGGCTTACAGTCTGGTTTCAGCAAGAACAAGCTTGCAGCACAGACTTTGTTGTTCGAGCAAGGAGGGATGAAGCAGTAGAACAACAAGCAGGACAGGCCAACTGACAGGTCACCGAGCGTTTAGTGTGTGAGCAGCAGCACAGGCCACCGGAAGGGGCAGGCACAACGCCGTGAGTTGCCTCTAGCCAGACCGCGGCAAACGTTGCGGCATCATTGCAAAAACACTTGCAATTTCAACTTTGCCGGCGGTTTCCAGCGCGGCGGGCAACCACTGCCGTGCTTGCAAGGCGCTGTGGGCTGCAACGAATGCAATGCACGCAAGGCGATAGGAGGTTGCAATGCACGCTTGTTTAAGTCTGTGCTGCAAGCTTGTTCTTGCTGAAACCAGACTGTAAGCCCACACAAGCAAGCGTGCGGGGCCCCGCATTCAGGCACATGCATGCAGGCGTTCGAAGGCGGTCCTCGCGTGTTTGCCCTTCCTGGTGGCCTCTTGCCCCCTAATGTCGACGGGAAGGGTTGCCGCGCCCTTCGACTTCACCAGGGGTCGCTGTTCAGTGTTGCTGGCGAGTAGGTGTCCTAAGATAGCATGGCCCCCACGGGTGGGGGCCCTTTCCAAAACGTGCTGCTCTCGTGGGTTGGGTTTTGCGTGTTTCATGGGCCGTATGCGAGCCTGCCTGGGCGAGAGCTGGACACGGGGAAACTGAAGAGCAGTGTGCACCCGGCTCCGCCCGCGACGAAGTCCTGCGCCCTCGACAGCCCCGCCGTCTGCTACCCTGCACCACTCAAGTGGCGCCTCCCTGTTCGCCACGCCTGCAAGCTACCGCAGCCGACGCGTGTTGCCGAGCCAACACTTGCCAGCTGCAGCCCCACCGATCAGGCCCCTCCGAACAACGTGGAGCGTCTCCACTGCTGCCGCTGCCAAGTGGTGAGGTGCAGGGCCCGGCAAACGCTGCGCAGAACTTGCAGGACATGCTCAAGCCCCGCATGCCCAGCCTCACAGCAGCCTGCGGCTTGGTGGGCAAGTGGAATGCGTGCCGACTGGGCGCTCGGACCCTTCCGAGGCTTGCAGGGCTTTGATGAGTGTGGTACGCAAGTGGGGAGCGGCGTGCTGAGCTCCTGCAGGCAAGTGCAGCAGCCTCCAGACGGCCTGGCAGCCCACCCCGCTGTAGGGCTGTGTGGTGGCGAGCGCCGCCAGTTGGCGGCAGCCGCCGCCCTCAGCTTCAGCGGCAGCGCCGGCGGCTGGTCCTGTGTGCTGGTATTGTGGCGCTCTGTGCTGGTATGCGGGCATGTGCTGCTGCGCACTGCCGACCACTCACCGCATCCTGGCCTGTGTGTCGGCTGCACGTCCGTACCGCAGATGACGGGGCGCGGCGGGAGCAGCACCCAGTCAGCAGGTGGCCGTGGCAAGCACGCCGGCGCCGGCCAGGCCCAGTCCGCCGGCGGCGCCAGCAGCGGCGGCGGCGCCACGCGCAGCGACGCGGGCGCCGAGCCTGCAGCCGCAGCCAAGTTGCCCACCGAGGTGTTTGCTGACCTTGTCGCCGCCATGGCCGCCCGCAAGGGCGGGGGCGCAGACCCGGCGCCCGCGCCGCCCACGGCACAAGCGGGGCAGGCACAGCAGCCGCAGGGGAGGCAGAATGGGATGGCGGCAGCCGGCGCGGACGGCCAGCGGGGGCAGCACGCGGCGGGGAGCCGCGACGCCGTCAAGGTAGTGCACGCCGGCGGCGGCGCGGCGGCCGCGGCGCCGCCGGGTGGACCCTTTGCGCCGCACCTGGGCGCCGTGGCCGGCGCGCTGCGCGACCGGCCGGGCAGCGTGCTGGCCGCCGCGCTGCTGCTGCACGGCGCGCTGGCGGCGGCGGAGCCTGCGGGGCCGGGCAGCGGCCACGTGCTGGCCTGGCGCCTCACCTCCACCTTCCTGCGCGCCCTGCTTGCGCCGCCCCTGGTGCACCGCCTCAGCCTGAGCGCCCGCGCATACTCGGCCATCGCGGTGGCGGCCGCAGCGCAGCGCCGCAGCGCCACGGCGCGGCACACGGCACCGGCGCCGCAGCAGCAGCAGCCCGTGGCGCAGGCGCAGCCCGTGCAGGCTGATGGGCGGCCGCCGGCGGCCGCGCCGCCGCCGCCCTACCACCACCACCCGCCGCCGGCGCAGCACGGCGGCGGCGGCGAGGGGGTGGGGCAGGGGCTGGTGGGCGCGGCGCGTCGCAAGAGCAGCAAGCCGCGCAGCACGCACGACACGCTGGCGGCGGCGCCGCCGCCCGCGGCGGCGGCGGCCAGCAGCGGCGGGCGCGACCTGCTGGCGCCGCCCGCCGCCGTGGGCGTGGGCCGCTCCCTGCGCCCCCGCCGCCGCTACAACGGCTCCTCCGACCGGGACGGAGAGCACAGCGGCGGTACGGCGAGGGCCCACGCGGCGGCGCCCCGCGGCCGCCGCCCCAGCCCGCACCTCGTCTCGCTGGCAGACCTGCTGCTGCCGGCGGAGCCGCTGCCGCGCTGGGGCAGGCAGCGGTCGCGGCGCGGCAGGTGGGAGGCGCCGCGCCGCCTCGCCCTGCCCTGCCCAGCCCCACCCTGCCCTGCCCCTGCAGTCTCCCGTGCAGCCTCCCATTCTGTATGCTTGGAGGGGCTGCCTGGTGCCGCCTCCCTGCGAGGCCGGCAGCCAAGCAGCCAGCCGCTGCCTGGGGCCGGTGCCATGCTGCTGCAGCCGCCGCGCGCCGACCGCCGCTGGCCCGCCTGCGCCGCTTGCTGCCCCGCCCTGCCCTGCAGCAGCCTGAGCCCGCGCGGCACGCTGGCCTCGCTGTCGCTCAACCAGGAGGGCTCGCTGGAGGTGGAAGGTGCGGCGTGTGGTGTGCGGCATGTGTGCGGTGTGTGGTGCGTGTGCGTGCGCTCCCTGTGTGCGGCGTGGGTGTTCTCTCTTGGAAGAACAGAACCCTGCGCCGATGCTCACGGCCCTGCGTGCACCTGCACCGCCTCGCATGGCCCCTCGCTCGCCTCGTCGCCGCGCGGTTGCCAGCCCGCGCGGCGCCCTGCCCACCGCCTGCCTGCCTGCCTGCCCTTCACACACAACGCTGCCCCGGCTGGGTGCAGGCGACGGGCTGGCTGCGCTGGGAGCGCTGGCCATGCGCGTGTCAGACCACGAGCAGCAGAAGGCGGTGGCACGCCAGCTGGGCGGCCCGCTGGCAGCAGAGAACGAGCGGCTGCGCAGGTATGTGGTGGCGGCGGCGGCGGTGGTTGCAGTGGTGGTGCTGTGTGCGTGTGGTCGGGGTGTGTGCGCGTGGTGGTTGTGTGGTGCGTGCGTGCGTGCGTGCTAGGTGTGTGTGTGTGTGTGTGTGTGTGTGCGCGCCTGGCCTCACCCCCCCAGCACCCCCCACCCCCACCTCCACACCCGCAGGCAGCTGCGCGACACGCGGGACCAGCAGGCACGGCTGGAGTCGCGGACGCGGCACCTGCAGCAGCAGCTGACCTCGGCGGCGGCGGGCGCCGCCGCGCGCGGCGTGCGGCAGCGCGGCGGCGAGGCGCTGGACCGGGAGCGGCTGGCGGACCAGCAGGTGCGGCCCTGGGGCTGCCGCTCCTGGCCGGCTGTGGTGCCTGCTGCCTTGTGTGCTCACAGCCTGCATGTGCGGGGCAGGCAGGCAGTCGCGACGCAGATGTGCTGGGCCGGGGCTGCCTGCCGTGTGTGCCTGCCTGTCTGCCTGCCCTGCCTGCCTGCTCTTGGCGGGCTGTGTATGCCGCGTGACCCTGGCGGGGAGGAGGCATGGTGCAGCCTTCGAGGATGCCCGCATATGGCGGCAGGCCGGGCCTTGACGCTTGCCGCACCTGCGCTGCCCTGCCTGCCCTGCCTGCCTGCCCGCAGGCGCTGCTGGCTGTGGAGGCGAGGCGGGTGCTGGAGGAGCAGCAGGCGCTGGAGCAGGACAGGAAGGAGGTGTGTTTTGGGGGTGTGGGGGTGGCCGGGGGGC